GCTCCAGCTAGACGTGGGGAAGCTCTGCTGGTCTCTGTGCTGGCGCTCGCAACGCCTGGCACATGCCTGCCTTTGATTAGGCCGTGTCACAGCTCTGCAGCCTCCTCCGTTTGCCGTCCGTCCGTTACAGAACGCCACCCCTGGTCATTGCAGCTTTCCGCCCTGGAAGACTTTGCCTGCGCCTCTCTGTGCCCAGGTTCCAGGCTCAGCTTTGCATTTTTATCCCCCTCTCATCTACTGAACTTTGGGGGAGTTCCTCTACTTGAGACCCAGAAAACGGCTCTCATTTCACTGAAAAATCTGATTTCTTTTGGCCACATGCTGCATTTCAAAAATGCCTACAGCCCTCAAGTTGGCAAATTAGATCCCAGAGAGGCTTCTGAGCACAGGTATCTTGTCAAGGAGTAGGGAGAAGTTGATATTTCAGGCTCCCAGATCTGGATAACACCCCAGGGACTCATCATGGGTTGTGGGTATTAAAATAATGGCAGAAATCTGAGCCAGGAGGGGCTTGTACAGTATGCGAGGGGATATATGTGTACACGCACATATACATATATATGCATATCCTTCCATTATTAATAGCTACAGACCATGATGGGTGCATGTGTATGTGTTATATAATGCATGCATACATATATATGCATATAGTCACATGTATATACACATATGTATCATGGGATGTGAGCACACCAATTATATACCTATACATATAAACTATATAAATATGTATATATGTGCACACACATATATAAGAATAAATACTCACACACTTTGCTAAAATGTACTAAACTTGCTCCATGACTTATTCACTGTTCTGATGATGGCAGTGGTGATCATAAAGTTAAAACAAAGAGAAAGGAATAAAACAAATAAGGCTTTCAAGTGACTGCAGTACAGACTGGTTTTTAACATCTTTCTGTGACCAAAGACTCTCCAAAGCCCTGACCACCGAAAGGTACGGTTGAGGATGGAGGGCTCTTGGTGCCTGTGACACCTCTGCATGTCCATGACAGCACAGAGTGTGCGTCAGAACGGACATATCCCACTGCTGTCTTCCCCATGGTATCACGTCCCTTCCAGATGAAAGTGTGATTTTCTTGCCTTTGCATTCTTAATGCTAAGTACAGAACCCTGGCACGTAGGTACCCAGTGTTTTCTGTTTTGACTAAAAGAATGTCCTTGGCCAATTGTCATTAATCATCATGCAACTCGATCTTGCTAACTTGCGCATGCACCATGCACAGATTGCATTGGGTCTTAGGAAGAAAATTACAACGTCATTTCTTCTTCCTGAATTTTGAGGAAGGGCAATGAGAGCTTCGCCAGTCTAAATCAGCAATTGAAAACTGGAGACATTATTGATTCTTTTAATGGACTTTCAACTTGGGGGCTCAGCATTTAATTTCACTAGCTTTCTTTCTCTATTTCTGAGATTCTGTTATATAATATAGACCCATTCTGAAATACATAATATTGTATTTATATGTAAAATCATGGCTCACTGTACATACTCATGTCTGCAGAGGCGCCGTACCACAGAGGACAGGCAAGAGTATGTGAGCTAATACCACTGGATGATCGTGGGGTGGGTTTGTTGTCCCATTCTGAGAAACTTCTCTCCCTTCCATCTTGGAGTGGAAACATACTTAACCCAGAAGGGAAGTCATCAGTCTTGACTGAAAGGTGCAGAAAGTGAACTGTGTTCAAGGCCATGCAAGGTGAATATTGTGTCTTCGTGCATGAGTAGAAGGCTCGCGGCTCCCAGTCTCTCTCCCGCTTGGCCTTGAACTTCCTAAGGAGCAGAAAGCTTTACCACCATTACCCCAAATGCTGCTTCTCCTCCCCTGGACCTGTCCGTTTCCTGTTTTCTCTGCATATTCCTCTTCCTTTCAGCCCTCCCTGTCCAGTGATTCTGCTCTGAGTTTCCTGGAACACGTTATCCCTCCCACTTCAGGACAGGAGTTCAGTCTGGCCCTCAGGGGCTCTTATGTCTTGTAAGTTCATAGCTTCAGTTCATTCTCTTCTTGATTTCCGCTGGAGGCCAGGAGGGAATGGGCTCTAGCCACAGCTCTGTTGGCCCCAAATGATCTCTGGGCAGGTAAATTGGTGGTGGTGGTAGGGGGTGGGAGGACTTCCAACATGGGCTGTGCCTGGAAATATTAATTTTTGTGAGAATTAATTGCATTCTAAAGACCATCTGCTCGAGTTTTCATCCTTAATTCTCACGGAATAATAACACTGGCCTTATGCTGCTAAGGGCACAGTTCCCTCCTCCTTATTCCAAATTTCATTTTTAAAACATTCTCACATTAATAGACAGTGAATGTGCCATGCTTAAATGGTTTCTAGCAAATTACTGGTAGGGAAAAGGGAATAACCCTGATTTCCAAACCTAAACCCTCACCAGTATTCTTTTTTCTAGAGCATTGTATGTTGGGCTACAGTGACTCAGACAGTCACTCACCTTAGGGTTATTGGCTGGCCCTTATTTGTGCATTTCAAGTAAAGCAACAGAGGGATTGAAAGTCAAGATTCCCTTCCCATGCAGTAGGATTCTGTGGAGATGCAGTGAGTCCAGGTTGTGTTCTCAGGAATGTATGGACTGTGAACTTTGGCTGAGGCCAGAGAAAAGCAGAGAAACATCTGTGTCCAACCCCTGAGCTATATTCTGGGCACGATGGAAAGTGGAATGACAGGATGGGCTTTCCAGTTGGCAGCCCAGGCTCTGTGTACCCCCACACCTCTAGTGTTCTGCACAATGAACTTCCTCAGCAAGCATTAACAAATTAACCAATAGATGAACTAATTAAAGCCCCTTGTCCTACTTGCCTTAACCCAGAGGATTAGCTTTTTAAAAATATATTGTAGTTATTTTTGCTTTAAGATTGCTTTGGCTATTCTGGCTCAAAGAGACTTTAAAAAATTATGATCTTTCAATAGAAATCTGGTAAACAATATGATTGAAACAATGTGATTTAATGTACAGGTGTTTCTTTTTTAGGACTCTCACTTCCAGAAACTGAGCTTGTCTGGTAAAATTTGTGGGGAACAACTGTGATCACAAGGTACCATGTAATAGTACTTTCAAACCTGAGTGTGCACACAGATCACCTTGGAGATCTGGTAAAAAAGGCAAATTCTGATTCAGTAGGACTGAGAAGAGGTGTGGGATTCTGCATCTTTCACAAGCTCTGGGGTGATGCTGTTGTTGCTGGAGCTGCAGGTCCCTGGACCACACTTTGAGTAGCAAATCTTCAAAGGTGGTCTGCTATCTTGCAGTGGTTCTCAGCACAGGGTAGGGGCTGGGAGGATGGGAGGTTTTCCACCCCATATCCTGAGGATATGTAGTAGTGTCTAGGACTCTCTTTGGCTGTCATAACTAGAGGGGGTACTACTGGCATGTGGTGGGCAGAGGCCAGGGAGGCTGCTACAGATACTACAATGCACAGGACAATCCCCACCACAATGAATTATCTGGCCTGCAATGTCAATAGTGTCGAGGTTAAGAAATCCTGCTTTAGGGGAAAGGACACAGGCTTGAAGTCAAGTGGACATAGGGTTAAACCATGATAATTCCACTTACTTGCTGTGACCCTTACAAGACTTTGTGAATCTCCATTTTTGGAGAACTGCCTAATGAGGACCAGCAAAAGGTCTGGATATGCAGTAAATGTTCAGTAATACTTGATACCAATCGAGCAATTGTAGAAGAACTGCCTTCCCTGGAAACTTACAGAAAAGCAGTAAGCATTATTGAGTACCCATTATTATATATCCAGAAAAATATTTTGGATATTTCAGAGATAGTTCAGATATATGGGCAAAGTTAGGGAGATAGTCTCTTGAATCCATAGTATTATATTTCTAAGAAAAAAATGGGTCCTCAGTCTCCAATGTGTTTGGCAGATATTGACAGCAGATGTGCTCACAAATTAACAGATTATAATGGCCAGTTGATTGTGAGAGTTGGGTACGATGTTTGTGACCACCCCAAGGTCAGCAATGTTTCTCATCAGCACAGCACCCAGCTTTGACTTGCAAAGTCACAGGTGTAGTGCTTCCTGCTGCTGGCGATGTCATGGGCTACCCTTGGTTTGCTCTTAGAATACGAGCAAAGCTAGCACTATGGGGAGGTCCGAGCAGGGCTGGTGGGGTGGGAGGAGACTGCCATTGACCAGCTCCTGGCACTAGTGCATGGGCACCTTGGGAACATCTGAGGCTTAATCTTTCCCATGTGTCTCAGAATACTTTTCCTGTGTGTTCCCTGCTATACCACCCTGAGACTCTTCTGCCCAACATATAAAGAGATGAGCACACACACACACACACACACACACACACACACACACACACGGCTCCATCTATGTCTCAACAGATGAGTCTTTCTGCTGACTGCCTGTAAAAAGAAAAACCACCAGATGGCACAGCTGGAAAAAAATGTCTGTGTTTTAGAGGGTCTATAAAGCTCTTTATCATCCCAGCAGGAGTGGGCAAGGACCTGGCAGGACACTGGGGTGCTCAGGAAGAATGTGGAGCATCTGCTTGACAAGTTGATGAAGCGTTCGAGAATCGTCTCCAGGCCCCTCTCTTGCCAAAGATGTCTGCACGATAGTCTTGGGACCCAGAGGTTGCCTCTTCCTGGCTCCTCCTTTTCTTACCACGCTGGTCTCCAGTTTGTCTGCCTGTAGAATTTCATGGAGACAATTGCTCTAAAAGATTATTATATTTGCCTAGATGGAGACAATTAGAATAGTCTGTACAGTACAGTGGTAAAGTAAAAAGTGTAGTAATTGTGGATGGAATTCACTAGGAGGACTAATAGAAGCCAACACATACTCAGCTATAATTTACTACAACAAAAGGATATAAACAATTAACAAAGGGAAGAAAGCACATGGGACAAAATCTGGGGGAAACCATCTTCAAGCTTCCAGAATCTTTTCCCATTGGCATCACAAAGGATGTGCTTAATTCCCCCAGCAACAGGCAAGAGATGTTGCTAATCACAACAGCTCATTAGAGACTGGCAGAGTTTTTTATCACAGGCCAATCATGTCTGCAGCCTCTGCCCAGAATGTACCAAAATTCCAGACTTCAGAAGGAAAGCAGATGTTCAGTATAAACCATGAACAGCCTAGGCACAGTGAGACACTCTTATCAGGTACTTATGGGAATCCTCTGAAGTCTACGTTCCTAAACACCAGCCAAGAGGCCACCTAGCAAGCAGGCCTTTCCAAGGACAACAGTTCAGACCTGCAGCGTTAACTCTTTTCTGCACAGCTGTGGATCCTGTGTTCCACGGGACAGTTAGTGGCTCAGTGGGAACCCAGAGTGCTGGGGCTGTGACAAGTTACCCTGGGTCTCACATACCCCTAGAGAGGCAGAGACAGCTGGTTCTTAGGCACTGGGTGGAGCCTTTGAAGAGAGTCCTGTGGAGGAGTCCCGCTCCTCCTAGGGATAACAGGTTATGCCAAAACAAAGACAATCTCTTCCCAAAACCTTCCCTGTCTGTAACATCAGCTGCTCCATTTTCTTCTATTTTGAATCAGAAATACTCAGGGTTTTATTCCTGTAAGTCAAAGAATCTTTTTTAAGGACAGTATGTAATATATATATATATTGTTTTTTGGCTTGAAAGCTTAAAGGAGTCTTTATCTTTGAAATCAAAAGCTTTCCCCCCTCCCTCTAGGATATACTTTGGCATATTTTCTTATTATTAACTCTGTTGAGCATGTGATAATCCCTCTCAATTTCTTATTTCAGATCTCTTTAATATTTTTTTTTCCATTCTGCCAAGTTTTCTTCTATTAGGTCTTTAATTATCAATGCTTATCCTTGGGAATACTGACCCTCTGGGGCTGCATCTCCATGTTCTGTCTTGTCATTCATTCCCTGATCCACTCATTTCTTTATTTGGGAATTTATTCATTCACTCAATAAACAGTCCCCAAACATCCCTGCCCAAAAGAGGCACTACCAGACACTGGGGAGTGAAAGATAACGGAGGTGGATGGTTGGTCACTCAGGATCTCAGTAGTGAAAAGACACACAGATTTCCGGAGCAAGCAGGGCTTGAACGGGGACCTGTCCACTGTACCAGGAATACAAAGGATGGGGGCTTCGGGTGATGCCGGGGCTGTTTGTAGACTGTTTTTTCTTAAGTTTATCTTTCATCACCAATTTAGTTCTCTGAAGAGTCACATTTTACTTATTCCAGCATTGCTTTTATTTGGTTGGCTGTGGTGTCTTGTGCTTCCAAGTTTGTTATAAGCAGCAGGACTTTGTCCTCGGTGTGATGTGCTGATATTCACTTTTCCCTGGGTGGCTTCAGGAGGTGCCTTTACAGCTGGTTCCCAGCAGACATGATCTAGTTCTAAAGAAGACGTCAATGGGAGAGGTCATACTTTTCTCTTTATTGTACACTTTGAGCTGATGAAGAACCCATCCTGACACAGGGGCAGGAAGCAGAACAGGTTGAGCTGCCTCACAAGGCTCAGGTCCTTTTGTGCCTCGGTCCATGTGTGGAGTGCTACCTGGACTGGGCTGCAGAGCAAGGCTCGGGAGGCCTCTAGGACAGTCAGAGACATCATCGCTGTCTACTTGCGCCAAGGGACTCTACTTGGATGCCAGCTGGGTGAGAGGTGGCAGCTGCCCCTGACACCCGCCCAGGGGCCCAGGTGCTCTTAGACAGTCTCCTAGATCCTCAGCTGCAGCACATACAAGGAGAGGGAGCAGATCGCTGCTACCTAAGAGGGGGGCTGGCTGAACAGCAGCAGCTCCCCAGAGCTGGGGGGTGGAGTGGCGGACAGGAAAAGATGTTACCTGCCTTCCATTCCTGGGAGCCCTCCTTACTCCCTGTAACTGCTGCCGCTGCTGCTGTTGCTGCTAAAAACTCCTTGAGTTAGATGATTTAACAGTAATGACGATGAGCATTAAGGGAAGCACATTCCTTGTTATTCATCTTATTCTGCCATCTCTTTGGAATTCTTTTAGCTAGTTTATCTTCAAATAGAAGCAATTGAAAATTAATTTTTGCCACAGAAAATAAAAACCCTCTTAACATAATTGGAGCCACCAGAGGGTCTACCTCATATAAATAGCAATCCATCTAAAGCACTGGTCTCTAATGGTGTTTAGGGGATCATTTCAGGATAAATAGGTAGAGGAAGAGCTAGATGCCTTCTAGTAAGCTCTTAGCACCCGTTAGGTGAGGAATCAAGCCTCTACCTATATTATTTATTTGGTCCACAAAACAGACCAACAAATGAAATGACAGTATTTGCATCTGACAAGTGACAAAACTGAAGTCGAAGTGAAGTTGGAGGATCTATGATTCAGTGAAGGTTTGAGATTTCACTGGTTTTTGATCCACTGTAAGTGGTAACATATTCATCTCTCAAAGGCAAATTACCTCTCACCTGCACAGGTGACAGAACGTCCTTCCTAGAGCTTCTCTCCATCTCCTTCTCTGAGTTTGGGTCTTCAATAAGATTTGATGACTTACGCAGGGGCATGTTATAAGGGCTGTCACCTGCAAACCAAAGCTCTTCATTGGCTGTCCCATCCTCCTCCTCTCCGTACTGGGCTGCAGTGGGGTGGCTTGGTTTAGGATGTTGCTCTTTGCCGTGAATTCTCAACATGAGTTGCCAGTTTTTGTTCACTTCCATTTTAATTACTTATCTGGATTTTTTTCTCTAGATTGCTTTCAGATGGATTTAACATTATGAGAAATGTCTTTTCAAGACATTATTTGGTAATTTGGGGGGAAAGAAAATATCTTTGCTGAGGCCAGCTCTGAAGACTGCACCTGGACTCTTTCCCTGGACTCTTTCCCTGGACTCTTTCCCTGGACTCTCCCAGCCACAGGGGGCAAAATGCCCTGTGGACAAGAGTATTTTCATTTTCACATGGCAACGGTGATATGATGGTATGCAAAAACCGCATCCCTATCTCCACTTTTAGTTGCCATTTTGCTTTCCTTTTGTCTTTTCATTTAATTATTTTCTGTAAAATACATTGTAGGTGTTTAGTTTCAGGGTCTCCATCCCCTTTTTATTTTTTTTTATTTCAGCAAATTACGAGGGTACAAATGTTTAGGTTACATGCATTGCTTTTGTCCCACCTGAGTCAGAGCTTCAAGCATGTCCAGCCCCAAGATGGTGCGCACCACACCCATCAGGTGTGTATATACCCATCCCCTCCTCCCCACTCCCATCTGCCCAACACTCGATGAATGTTATTACTATATATGCACTTAAGCGTTGATCAGTTAATACCAATTTGTTGGTGAGTGCATGTGGTGCTTGCTTTTCCGTACTTGTGATACTTCAGTTAATAGAATGGGTTCTAGCTCTATTCAGGATAATACAAGAGGTGCTAGATCACCATTATTTTTTGTGGCTGAGTAGAACTCCATGATATACATATATCATATTTTATTAATCTACTCATGTATCGATGGGCACTTGGGTCGTTTTAACATCTTTGCAATTGTGAATTGTGCTGCTGTAAACATTCTAATGCAGATGTCTTTTTTTCCCTTGGGTAGATGCCCAGTAATGGGATTGCAGGACCAAATGGTAGTTCTATTTGTAGCTCTTTGAGTTATCTCCACATTACTTTCCACAGAGGTAGCACTAGTTTGCAGTCCTACCAGCAGTGTATGAGTGTTCCTGTCTCTCCACATCTATGCCAACATTTATTGTTTGGGGACTTTTTGATAAAAGCCATTTTCACTGGAGTTAAGTGATATTGTGGTTTTGATTTGCATCTCCCTGATGATTAGAATTGTTGGGCGTTTTTTCATCTGCTTGGTGGCCATTAGTCTGTCTTCTTTTGAAAAGTTTCTGTTCATGTCCTTTGCCTACTTTTTAATGGGGTTATTTGATTTTTTCTTGCTGATTTTCCTGAGTTCTATATAGCTTCTAGTTTTCAGCCCTTTATCAGATGTGTAGAATGCGAATATTTTCTCTCATTCTGTAGGTTGTTTGCTCTAGTGACAGTTTCCTTGGCTGTGCAGAAGCTTTATAATTTGATCTGGTCCCATTTATTTATTTTTGTTGCTGCTGTGATTGCTTTGGGGGTCTTCTTCATAAATTCTTCCCTAGGCCAATGTCTTTAAGAGTTTTTACAACATTTTCTTCTAGAATTCTTATAGTTTCATGCCTTAGGTTTAAGTCTGTTATCCATTATGAGCTGATTTTTGTGAGAGGTGACAGGTGTGGATCCTGTTTCAGTCTTCTACATGTGACTGTCCAATTTCCCAGCACTATTTCTGCCTGATAGGGAAAAGTAGAGACAATACTACAGAGACAAGTGTTTTAGGAGGACTAATTCATTCAGCCTTAATCACACAGTTTTAGGTATTCAGTCTGTGCTAGATGTCACAGCAATAGTTCTTCCTCTCATTTTTTAAAAATGTTATGGATCCATTTTAGCTTCTGATGTCAGCAATAAGCAGCATCCTAGTTTTCAAGGTGTTTCTGATTACCTTGACACTAATATATGGGCCCTAAATTAAGAAATCACAGGCTAGATAAATTCTAATATCCTTTCTAGTTCTTAGCTCCTGTGATTCCTTTTTAATTTTAATTATGCAGACATAAGTTATGAGATTTCTAAGGAAGGAGTTAAGAAAAAAACTACTCTTCTCTCCATCTCTGCTATTTTATTCAACTCTAAAAACCCAGCCTCTTCAGCTAGACTCTATTACTGCACTAAAGTGGCCAGCTTCAGTATGTGAAGTTTAAAATGTGGGTTTAATAATGTTAGGAAGGCACAAGAGGGCCAATGTCTTCATTGGCACAGGCCTAGGGGAAGCAGGGACCACACCTGTGCAGCGCGGGCGCGGGGCGTGGGGGTGGGAGCCACTCTTCGGAAAGCTGTTCTGCCCGCAATCACAGTCTCTTCCACTCAGAGCCAAGTGCCCCTCATTAGGTGCGTAGGTGCAAAAGAGCAATGAAACCCTAATTAAGGAGCTGCTGACTGTTTCAAGTACAGCCACATGGGCCTAGCCTGCTGCCATTTCAGACCTAATCCAGACCAATCAGCTGGAGGGGTGCACGTCGCTGAAGTTTTAATTCCCAGCCAAAATATGCCTTGATTGGACCCGCTCCTCCACTTCTGATTGGGTTTATTGAGAGGAATCTTCTGATTACTTGGGAGAGTACTGGGGGCTGCGGAGGTGAGTTGGGGTGCGTGGGGGGCTCCCTCCGGCGCTGGGCTGAGCACAAGCGCCTAGTAATTGAGGAGCCCACGTGGGTGCTCGCTCCAAGGAACAAGTCTGAGGAGAAATCGATGGAAGAGAAAATTTCCCTTCAAACCAATTGATTCTTCAGCAACAACAAGAAAATTGAAGTCCGTGCAATTCCAGCTCATGAAAGGTTCCAGAGAGAACTCTGGAGAAGATAGGAGATACTCGCTAATGAGAATAGGTTTAAAACCATTGCAGGCCTGAATTTTTAGTATTTTAAAAAACCCAAAAAACTAGAACGACAATTTCTAAAACTGGAGGAGAAGATAGAAAAGGTTGAAGTTTTTTAAAGACAAAATTTCTTACAGAGACAAACTGTCAAATTTTTCATTACATCCATTTCAAGGCAGGCATTTATTACCTTTCCAGTGACTATATATCTCCTCTAATGCTCTTACTGTGGTTTGCCTCTTAATTACCCTCAGAATTTGCATTTAAACTGAGTTAAAGGATTCCATCTACTCTTTGGCTACCCACAGTTGTTTCCATGGTAACCGCAGGGGTCTCCTGGTGGCTGGCTGGGCTGAATGTGTGCCGCAGGCCTGGAAGCATCTCCCTGCCTGCCCGTGGCTAATCTCTCCTTCACTTCGCTGAGGAAAGTGAGTGGAGAGCGTCAAAGGATCCACTGACCTCTGTCGGATTTGTCTGGAAATTACTCTCAGCAGGTGAGATTTCCTTTCTTTGCAGAGCTCTTCAGAATGGGGGTTTGGGGTTGATTTCTCCCCCTGCAGGCCCACTCAGACTGCTCCCCTCCGCAACAGGTGCAGGAACCCCGTGGGCCTGGTTCCGGCCCCCTCTCTTGACCCTGAAGCCTTCAGCACAGTTCCCGAGTCTGGGCAAGTCCTTGCCTTGAGAGCAGGAGTGGACGCTTCCCAGGGGACAAGCAGCACGCCCCCTTCTGGTGTGAAGGGGCAGCACAGCATGGCTGTTAGAGGCAGTTGGGGCAGGAGGTCATGGCAGCAAGGTGCAAACTACACTGAGTTAATGGCACCAAGTATCCGGATCCAGCAGCTCCAAGGTGAGCAAAAGTAAAAAGGAAAGTGTGTCCGTGCCAGGTCATTTTCCTAGATCCCTTCAGCACCGAACACCCATGTTCCTAGGGTCACTTTTTCTCGAAGAGAATAGATTGAAAACAAACAAAGGTGCAGCCTAATAATTCTGAAAAAGTGAAGGTTGCTTGGTCTTGTACTCACAACAAGGGAGACACACAGAAGCTGAAAGGTGAGAATGGAAACTGCAGAGCTCCCTGGGTGGCTCCTGCCCTCAGCTCTCCGAGAAAGGTAAACAGAGACTGAGCTCACACCTCCGAGGACAAGGGAAGCCCTAAACTGCCCCTGATCCTCCCTGCTGACCGTTCCCTGGGGTTGGAGTGAGAAAAAGTGCACGTCAGAGTCTGAAATATACTTGTTATATATACTACCCCCTTGTAAGGGAAGAAGCAATCAGTTGGGGGGGGGCGGTGAATAGACCGCCAAATTACGTGGGCAACAGTTAGTGGCCAAAGTCCAGGGTTCCAACTAGTTCAGCTTGATTATCCTGACAGTCAGCTCTCCAATGAAAACAAATGTCAGAAGGTAAAAGCATGAGGGATGCCAGTCATTGTGTCTCAATATTTATTAAAGTCCTTTAAAATAATCTCCTTTGTTGGATTAGGGCACTTAATCCTCAAGATTGGCCATAACTGAGCATGTAATTACGCTGATTTTTACTGTACAGTTTTGTTTTCTTCCATTGGATGCTACAGTGAACTTATTTCAACTATCTCCATTGCAAATTTATCTGTGCTCCAGTCCGAGTGTCTGCGACACATGCGGTTGTTGCGTGTCTCCTCAGTGTAATTCCTCCGTGGGTTCCTGGCTGGATTTCCTGGTGGAATTAGGATCCCTGTGTTCATCTTGTCCTGCTCTCACTGGGTTCAGAGTGGACCACAAAATGATATGCACCTGTCTTCCAGGGCCTGCTAGGGCAGTGACGATGGAGATACAACTCATTCCCTCACTGGGATTTAGGATTTAGAGCGAGGCCTGCCTGGCAAATCTCACTTCAGCAAGTGGCTGTGCAGGGGCAGATTTGGGGGCCCCTGGAGCCTGGGGGCTGTGACTTTTGTAGAAACAGAGCACTGAACCACAGACATATGTGCTGCTCTCAGTTCTTCCCTCTTCGTATGACTACTTGGATGTAAAGCTTTCACCAGGGTTGTCTGCTCGCTAAGCTTTAGGCTTCGATGTTCTGGAGTCTGACCTTAGTGGCTTCCATTTCGGTCCTGCTCTAAGGGGATTCAAAGCAATGCAAGCTCAGTGAAGACTGGCGGATACAGCCAGAGGCTAGCATCTCGTTGTTTGATTTTTTCTCATGGAGTCACTTGCCACTCGAGCCTCTGTAGGTATGTAGCCTGAGTCCCAGGATACAAGTGAATTTATATATAACTCGTGTCTGCATGACATGAAAGAACAAATTTCCAGCCAGTAATAGAAGCGTTCTCGTGGTCTTACAGTGATACAGTCAATTCCATATTAGGGTTTGTAACTTTTAATAGCCCACTCCTGAGTCCAATTAATTTAATGGTTCCTTGTTTTTTTTGTTGCTATTAAGATAAATCAAATTCAAAATATCTTTTTTTTTTTTGAGACAGAGTCTCTGTTACCCAGGCTAGAGTGCCTTGGCTTCAGCCTAGCTCACAGCAACCTCAAACTCCTGGGTTTAAGCAATCCTTCTTCCTCAGCCTCCCAAGTAGCTGGGAGTATAGGCATGAGCCACCACATCTAGCTAATTTTTCTCTTTTTTGTAGGAGATGGGGTCTCATTCTTGTTCAGGCTGATCTTGAACTCCTGACTTCAAGTGATCCTCCTGCCTCAGCCTCCTGGAGTGCTAGGATTAGCATGAGCCACTGTGAGCCACTGTGCCGTCCTCAAAACATCCTTTAAAAAAAAGGAAGCAATTTATTGGTCTGTGTAACTGAAATGCCAGCAAAGAGCTGACTTTTAGAATGTCTGCATCCACAGGCTCAAACGAGGTTATTTGGAACAAATATGTCCTTATCTCCCAGCTCTACTTTCCTGACTGCTCTGATTGCCTTTGTACCAGGCAGGCTCTCCACTCGAGGTGGCGAAATGGAGCTACAGTTTCAAGCCTAGAGAGCATCTTCCTCCTCTAAGCAACAGAAAGAAGAAGGGAGGGTCTCTATCATTGAAAGTTTGGATTATACTACTCATTGGATCAGGTTAGTTTGTTTATCAATATTTAGTCCAATGATTATGGCCAAAGACGTGAAGAGCGGTGACTGGTTGAGGGTTGGTCTGTCTGACCATCTCCCATGCACAGGCTGGGAACAGCCCAATCCAAACTACGTGGGCAAGAAAAATCAGGGTCCATCACAAGAGATATGACTACTCCAGTTTTATACCTTATATCATCATTATGGGAAAATAGCTATTTTCTTTACACAAATGAGGCAACTGTTGCAAAGTGTAATAATATTGCACTACCGCATAGCTAATAGATCATGATTTGAACCCCTGTCAAAGTCCATGTTCCTGATACTAAATTCTCATCCTCAGTTTTCCTCCGTGCTACATTGTGAAGATGAGACTCAGAAATCTTTAAATTTGGTTCCTCAAAGCACACTGATTTTAACATTCTGAAGCTGGCATAATAATGACAATAGTTTCTTTAGCCGGTATTATGCATTTCTAGCTATGTTTCTTTCCATTATTTTCTCACTTACTGGTGATTTAAGCAAGGCAAGTATGTATTTCCCCACATCTTTGGAGCTAAGTGTGATGAAAATAATTTCCAAGGTGTCCTTGATTGAATGTTCGTGTCATCCCTCCATTCTTATGTTGAAGCCCTAACCCCTAGTGCAGCTATGTGTGGAGGTGGGCCCTCTAAAGAAGTGATTAAGGGTAAATGAGGTCATAAAGGTGGGGCCCTGAACTGATAGGATAGTGTTTTCAAAAGAAGAGACACCAGCCATCTCTCCCTTTCCCTATCCCTCCCCACCCCACATCCCTACCTCTCACCTTTCACCTCTCACCTCCCACTTCCCGCCTCCCACGGGAGAACACGGGGAGAAGAGAGAAGGGAAGCCAGTAAGAGCTCTCGCCAGAAACCAGCCGCTGCTGGACCTTGATGCCGGACTTAGAGCTGACGTACTGTGAGAAACACATTTCTGTTGTTTAAGCCAACGAGTCTGTGTGGTTGTGTTGTAGCAGGCGGATCCGACTAGCACACATGGACACCCAGTGCGTGAGTGGGAAAGCCGGGATTAGAAACCGGGTCTCCTTTCTTTTATTCCAGAGTCCTTTCAACCTCTTTGCCTCCTCTTTGCCTCAATTCTGTTGTTATGTGTGTATTTTTATTTTTATTTTATTTTTCTTGTCTTTTGCCAAGCAGACCTCCCGGGGAGGAGAGTGAAACCTTAGTATCCACATAGCAGAACCCTTTATTGGTTCTGATGGAAAAAGTCATGTGAAATCATCTAGAAGTAAATAGATGAACACCTATCCAGGTTTGAAAGCTGCTATGTTAACTGAGAAACCACATTTGCTATCTCGGCAAGAGCTCCAGGTCCCACTCTGCGTCTCTCTTGGCCACAATTTGGTTTTGTTTCTCTGAAGGGTCTCTAGGGAAGTCCTGTAGGGAAGAGGAGCTGTTAGCTCCCTGCTGGTTCAAGGGACACCTCTTGTGGCAGTTTCCCCTCTGTCCAGGCCTGAGGGTGAAGAGATGCCAATCTGACTGGTCTGATCCCAAGATGGTGATTGGCTGCATTTACCAGTGTGCAATGTCACCAATACCCAGGCGCAGCACCGCGGCAAGGGTCGGCAGTCGGCAGTCGGCAGTGGGGAAGCCTGCCCTGGGTGCTCACCATTAGAGCATGCGTTGCCTGGGGGGGATTTAGACACAATAGTAACATCAACTAAAAGTTGGTCTGCTTTTTATTACCATAATGCTGTGGCAATTGAAAACCTAATGTCAGTGACAAACCCTTCTCCCCGTGGAAGTACCTACCCCTATGCCCGCCACTGTTTATATGCCACTGCAGGCAGGCCATAATAGAATAGATGGAGAGGCCAGGGGCAGCTGGATAGGAATTCCCAGTGCGTAGCATCTACCGAAGCTAAAATCCTGTCTCTTCCCACCTGCCAGCCAGCGCCAGTTGCCCACAGGTGTTCTGAAGAAGCACACTCAGCAGGGAGATTTTTACTGATCTATAACTGAAAACTGACTGAGCTCCCTTTGGGGTGTTTGCCTCTCCCAAGCAACTGCCAGCCAGAATGAGCTCAGCAGTGGGATCCCCGGGGGCAGCGTAATGACCCAGACTGTACATGCAATTATTGACAGTGCACTGGCAAGTGAGAGAGAGAGAGAGGGGGGCTCTGAGTCGGGGATGGGGAGAGGGAGCAGATGGGTGGGAGTGTGGATGGCTATGCCACTGGGGGGGGGAGAGGGTCACAGAGCGTGTGAGCTCCCCTGTAGGCCAGCTAGCACCTTCTGGGTGAACTGTGCCTTCACCTCTGTTCTTTGCCTTTCTCACTGATCAGTCCTCACTTGGGTCAGTGCTTAAGATTCCTAATCCCATTCCATTTTAGAGAAGTACTAACTTGCATAGAAAAAAAGCAGAGGATAGTGTCAGAGGTTTCAGAGAAAACATTTCTGGCCCTTGTACCCTGGTGCACTGTCTAGAGTGTTATCTGACCTTGGCTAACTTTTGTTCCCTATGAAATGTCTCAGCTCCAAGGCCTGTGACAATGGCCTTCCCTCTTGTGACATAAGCCAGAGAGCAAGAGGACAGCATCCTCAAACAGGCTCAGAAATTATGCCTACACCCTGAAGACAGAGAGGTAAGCAGCTGTGTAGTAAGCTGGGGGTAGACGGAGGGACAGGCGTCTAAGAGGGAGGTTCTGGGAGGCTGGCTGTCAGCGCCTTCCTGCTCCTTTCCCTGACCATAGGATGTCATTGTCCTGAGTCTGGGCAATCATCTCTGCAGGGCATCTTTGATCTCCAGGCTAGAGTGTGTTTCCTGAAGGACCTGTTGGTGTCTGACTCACTGATGTCCCGGCTGGCTCCCGCTCCAGCGCTGGACCCGAGGTCAATCCCTGGGTGAGTGTGTGATCGCAGACAGGGGCGTTTTCTCTGCACCATCTGTCGACACATGTAAAGCTGTGTTTAGGGAACATCTCTGTAGACAATTCTGCCTTTGCTTCTGTGACCTCCTGCGTGGCAGCAGGCGTGTGAAGGGTCTGCCTGTGGTCCTGGGGTACCTGCAATGAGCTTCTCCCATGGAACAGCCTCCTCATTTCCTGCTGTCCCTGGACAGGTATCTCCTGAGATGTGTCTCTGCCTCTGTGATGGAGGTGGAGTTCTTCTACGGAACATTGCACGTTCCAGTAATCTGTTAGGATTTATCAGGGAGCCACTCTGTCCTTAATGAGGGGATCGACATTGCCTAGCGCTGGAGCTGCCAGCCAGGCTGGAGGGCTCCTGGGCAGTCCCACAGAGAGCAGAGGGTCAGCAGCATCTGACGGGCCAAGCAGAAGGCAGAGTCCACCCCGGGCTGCGTTGTCCATGGAGAGTAAAAGGAATTCTGCACTGTTCTGAAAATCAACCTGCTTTATATCTGTATCAGTTTGCTCAGGCTGCCAGAACAAAGCACCATAGACTGGGTGGCTTCAGTGACAGAAATTTATTTGCTCACAGGTCTGGAGGCTGGGAGTCAAAGGTCAAGGCGTGGGCAGGTTAGTTTCCTCTCCGGCCTCTCTCTGGGGCGTGCAAGTGGCTTGTTTCTCACCGTGTCTCCACCTGGTCCTGCCTCTGTGATCACACATCCCTGGTGTTTCTCTGTGTGTCCAAATTTCATCCTCTTATAAAAGCATTAGTGATATTGAACTAGGGCCTGCCCCAACAATCTCCTTTTACCTAAATTAATTCTTGAGAAGTCCTATCTCCAATACAGTCACATCCTAAGGTACTAGGGGTTAGGGCTTCAATTTACCAATTTGGGAGGATACAATTCAGCCCACAACTGTATTATGCCCATGCTCCACCAAGTCTCAACCATTTCAGTAATAACCCCCTCTAAATGTTTTTGTGATCTAAGTTATAAATGATTGTTCCAGCTGTTACTGAGGTTTTCTACTTACCCTTCAATAAACATTATATCTAACAACATCAACTTTAATTAGAGAAACACCAGTTATCCATTTGGCCCCCGGCACACTGTAAACGCAGCTGCACATTGGCTTTTTGAGAGAAAGTTCTTAAAGGTTTGGAGTCATTTGAGCTCACTGCTGGCACAGCCCTTGTCTCCCAGCCCTGTGCTACTCTGAGCACCACTGCTTAAATGGTAGATTAGAAATTAACAGTAATTCTGGAGACAAGCAAATAAAATAGAACTTGAGTTACTTCTGATGGAATTTATGTTTAAATTTTAAAACAGAAACAGTCATTTTATACTTATCTCCAAAAATCTGTAATTAATAGATACTCAAATAGACAGTGAATTTTAACCATTCATTTTTTTTTAAATTTCTGGCCATTATTATTATTATTATGATTAATACTGAAAATTATTACAGGATGGGAATGTTAAAAAAAAGAATTCACTGCACAGGCATCTTTAGCTCCAGGGAAACAGTAACATTAGTGATTTAGAGGGACAAGTGAGGGGACACCCACAGGTGGGTCCAGGTCAAAGTGCAGGCAGCCAGTAACCAGAGTCTAGGCAGGAGGCCAGGATTTGGTAATTCAGTAGTCAGGTAGCCCCCTTCACACACACACACACACACACACACACACACACACATGCACGCACGCATGCGTGTACACACACATGCACATGCACGCACATGTACACACACATGCACAGGCACGCACATGCACACACATGTACATATACACATGCACACGCACACACATGCACATACCTCACAGGCACACACATGCACACAGTATGATGGCTGGGATCTTAGCACCAGCACCAAGACAGAGGTCCACTTCTGTAGCTACAAAGAGGCTCCCTTCTCTACATGGCCACAGAGACGAGATGATGCTGACAATCTCCCCTCAGGGGTGGTGGAGCCCACAGGTCTACGCTGGGACCAGGGGTCCGCCTCTGTGCTGCATGGGGGACCATTTAGGACCATGAACTCCCTTTCTGTCCTCGACATAGCCAAATCTTCCCTAGCCTTCTGCCACCAGCTGCTGGTGTTTTGCCAGGCAAATGTCACACACACAGAATGGGGACAGGTCTTCGGCCTCAGGGAGCTCTGTACGCTGGGGGAATCAGAAATATAAACAGACACACCTCACTTATGGCCAAATTTCTCTTCCCCTGGCGGAGAGAGAAGAATGTGTATCATTTTGACAGAAAACATCTGTGACTTAGAGTAATTCCAAACTCTGAAGGGCTGACGACTGTGAGGGTCTAGCTGGGAGTCGTATTCCTCAAGGCCAGTCAAGCCGCGAGTCCCCAGTCCAATGGGCCAAAGCTGATGCTGGAAATGGGAAACTCCAGATATTGGAAGGAGAGTGGAGAGTTAGGGAGAGGATAGAGGATCCAGGGAGATGATAGAGGATCCTTATGTTGAAGAACAATCTTAGCCGATACCAGGAGTGCATGCTCTTTCCCTAGTAATTGGCAGCCGGTTTGGATGTGCAAGTTGCTAGTGTGGTCTGTGAGGAGGCCAGCTGCCTCCCCCCTGTCCAGGACAAAGTGAGTTACTCCACCGGACATACAAAAGGACGTGGAGGACACAGAAAGGAGCACACGGGGCGCGTCTCTGGGGGATGGTTCTAGAGATGAGCTGTTAGGGATGAATAGAATTTTAATTTGGACAAGGGCAGGGAAAAGCTATGCATATTACAGGAAGAAGCAGTCAGAAAAGTAACATGAGGTTACCTGAGCTCACTTGCAGAGACTCACACATTCCTGGTGTAATTAACATGGGGTAAGTGCCCATAAATGAAATGGAAACAAAAGGGCTGGCCTGGAGCGACATCCCACGCTTCCCACTGAGAGACAGGAGCCCAGGCCTTCAGTGCCAGTCCGTGCTGGGACTCTGCGTTCTAGGTCAGTCCCCAGGGAGGGTGACTCAGGGCCCTGCCACCTGACTTCCCTGGGAATTGGGGCAGGACAGCTCCCGCAGGTGGAGAGAGGAGAGGCTCGGTGGGAGGGAGCGGGGCAGGGAGGCAGCTTCTGTAATCGCCTCTGTGGGGTGTATCCTGTGAAACCAGAAGGCAGCTTGTTAAAATGCAGGTTGAATTAAGCTCAAGGCGTTATCTCCTTTCTGTCCTCTGATCTGGGGTTAACGTTCTTCAATTACTGCGAGAGATAAGAAAAAGTCCAGGTGAGAGAGAAGCAGGAGGAAGCCAGGGACTCTTCACCTCACTAAGGAGGAAATGTGGGGGGAAGAAGTCACGCCTCAGGGAAGCAGATTCACTCCTGAGCAAATCAAAATCAACAGATTGGCCAGACTCAAGGATGTGCTCATTATGTCTGCGAGAGACAGGGATTCTCGGGGAACCAGAGCATTTTCTAACGACCTCCAGGGATCGGCCAGGTCACTTGTGCCTACTGAAAACTTTCACTTAAAATTGATGTCTTTTTTAAAACTAACATTTTCCCTTATTTTTCAAGATATATATGCACTGAAGAATCTTTGCAAAATAGAAAAAAAATTAAGTCACTTATAAATAATATCTGACTCATCAGTTACCAATGTGAAGATTTGGGTTTCAATCTTTTTACACATGCATGTACACAATCCTTCCCTCCATACTTCTCTTTTCACCATGTGATCTAAGAGACCCCAACAGAAGCCCCTCTATCAACTAAGATAGACCCTAAGTGTAGGGAAACAAAATTACCTGGTTTGAGGATGGGACAGCCAGGAGAAGAATGTCCCAGGCAAAGGGACAGCAACCTGGAGGCCTCGGTGTGAACAGGAACTCGTTCTGTATGAAGGACAGGGAGGGATATGGGACAGAAAGAGAGAATGAAGGAGTCAGGTTGGATGAGGAGGACAGGATTTTAAGCAAAGAGCATGCTACTTAATCTTATATTAATACATTTATTAAAAACATCCCTCTGACTAACGTGTGGAAGACTAATGTGTGGAAGACACAGTAAGGGGACAAATCAGAAGCAGAGAGAAGTATGAAACTACTGCCAGCATCAAGCCAACATGCGATGGTGGCTCCGCGTGGGCTGTTAGCATCAGAGATGGAGAAAGATTCAAACCTTTGAGACGTACTTTGGATGTCTACCAACTGTCTATGACAATGGCTGGGTATGGGACGTCAGTTATAGCTTCACAATTTTTTAAAAGGTGGTGATATTTACTGACATGGATCAGGCTGGGGAGGGCTAAGTTCGAACTGACTCCTGAGGGGAGGTAGACGTGGGGTAACGCAGAGACTCACCTTGGGTTTGGGCGTGTGTTGTTTGAGAGGCTGTGAAACAGCCAGGCGGAAGTTTTAAGGAGGTGTTTTGATCTGCTCCCCTGGAGCTCAGAGGAGAGGTCTAGACTGGAGGTATGAAGGTGGGGCCTCGACCTCAGCACTGGTGTTGGCCCTGGACTTGGAGAACAGGGTCACAGGAGACCCTGGGAGGAATTCTGCAGTTGGTGGGAGAAGGAAAAGTCACCGAAGGGGACAGAAACAGGAGCGGTCAGCTAGCTCGCTGTCAGGGACAGCATGAGAACACAGCTTCACAGCCGTGTAAAGAGGACAGCGCCTTACCTTCCCTGGGAATACGGATTCCAAACCTTAAATGTTAACGTCTGCACAATATTTTATAGGATGGACCATAAATTATTGAAATCCCTCCCCCAACCCCCCAATCTGGGCTGGAGGATATTAGGACTGTTTACAACCTTTTGGCAGTTGAGATGAATATCATGACAGTAAATCTTTGGGCACAGATATGATTAATTTTAATGGTGGATTTTTAGAAGCAGGATTATAGAGTAAAAATTAATATTAATAAAGACTTTAACACCTAATGTGTGATGTCTTTTCTACTGTTTATAAAGACATTGGGAAAATTAAATGCCATAATTTCCATTGATAACATGCTCATAGTCTAACAAAGCCAATTAAGAAAGAACCAAAAAATCTAATGCTCTTATTAAATACCTATTGTCTTAGATGTTGCAAGATTGATTTAGAACTCCTGCCTTTCAGGTATGGTGCTGAGATTCAGGGAGCTTTTTCCATCCCAAATTACTTATTTCATTATAAAGTTGTAAACATTTGAACCAATGTTTATTTCCACATTACTTATTTAGCTCACCTAACTTTCTCTAGTAATTTCTTTCCATCAGTTTTTCTTTATCCATTCCAAATTCTATGCATTGTCCTTTTCTGTAGTGGATATACTCACACTTCAGTATCTTCTTTTCAACATTGGATGCCTCCTTTTTGTCCTTATTAAGCTCCTGTCCTCACCTGCTTTTACCAGTGACTTCAGTTCTCACCGATTCCTCCACTGGGTCCCCTTTCTGCACCCATCTTAAACCAACATCACTTAAAAGGGAGATCCTAAGCACCCCCAAGCCCCAGCCGATTCACCTCTATAAGGCCTCATCAATAGCAGGAATGAATAAATGTTCACTGAAACCAGTTAATGCACATCTTACATATAGAGTAGCTATAATGTAATAACAATAGTTTCTTTAATGTGCAATGCTCTGTGTTAATCAGTTTACATTTATAAATACTAATCCAAGTGTCAACACTAATATAAATGATATCTCTATTTTAAGATAAGTGAAGCCAACCCCATAATATAAAAACATTTTCATTTTGCATGAGAAAAGTTAGGAGAGATAAAGTATATTACCAGAGATATCACTGGCTATCTAGGGAAAGAATTTAATGCAATTCTGCCTGACTTTGAAATCTGTGTTTTATTGTCACACATGCTTGCTTGCATGTATAGTGTGCGCTCCTAGACTTACCATGAAATTGTTAAAATGAAAGAAATCTTGAAATTTTCAATTAATATAACCTCATTGTATATCTTCCAAAGATTGGGAAATTTTCTTAAGTGTAGCAAAATGCCTCGTTGCCTACCATTACCACAGAAACTGAGAGAGAGAGAGACTACCCCAAAGCAACATTTTGTGAATGAATGACTACAGCCAGGGTGAAGCCATTACCTGATGGGGCATACTTCGGACTCCACCCAGAATAACCTTTCTCTTTCCCATCATTGCTGCAGTGCCCTATACCAAAGTCTCTCTTTTAGGGACTTACAATCCTGGGATATTTTCGAAGGTAAATTGGCAGTATCTCATAGGGCCAATAGACTTAACTCCTGCATGAAAATCAGCAGGCAATTTACTGGCTACTGTCCATGAGAGGTCCTCATGGACTGCAATGGGGAGGACATTGAAATCAGCACCTCCATGTGGACGAAGCCCAATACTTCCCCTAAAGGAAACTGAAGCCAGGGG